TATGTAAAATATTGTTCGAACAATTGTAAGTTTTTATGTTATTTATTTATTGATGTAAAATTTATCGAAAAATAAATCAATGTAAAATTTATTTTTATGTAACTTTTATCGATTTTCACTATAATTCTTTTTACCGTTATTTTTTGGGAGAGAAAAAAAACGACGTGCGGGCCGAAAATGGACTAGCCCATGCTGGCCTACGGGCCGTGTGCGTTCTGGGCCGGGTTCAGGCCTCTCCTGACCCGACCCGAACAGCCCGTGTTTACACCTTTATTTGGGGAGATAGGAGTTAAATGAGTGGTCGATGGGTAATATGAAAAGATGAGTGAGTATTGGATAAAGATGAGTGAGTAAGTAGTAACAATACAAACGTTCAATGAGTAAGTAGTAACAATACAAACGTTCAATGTGTGTTGATTAAATTTACTCGCGCGAAAGAGATGGCATGCATTTCTTCAATTAATTTTCTTGTGTTTGGTTCGTTGCAGCTAAAATCTCATTAAACACATATATCTGAACTTTTTCCTGGTTTAAACCCAATGATTAAAAACAAGATTTCAACTTTTTAATTTTTTCCTTCTTTAGTTTATCGTTTACCTTAATGATGTGGCTTTCATATCTATCAAAACCACAAAACTTCAACGGAAAACCGTCAATATTCAAATACACAAGCGTGTCGTGAGAATACAAAAAAACAAAGTATATGTTGTAAATAGTAAGTTATTGGTGAAGGACAATTGTACCCTTATAAATTCTCACGACACAAGCGTGTCGTGAGAATACAAAAAAAAAGTATATGTTGTAAAATAGTAAGTTATTGGTGAAGGACAATTGTACCCCCGCAACCCTAGATATTATTACCATATGTATCCTCATTCATTCCCTATAAATATAGGGTTTTGATTCTCATTATAATACACAAAAGTCTATTAACTTCTCTTATTCTCTCTTTTCATAACACATTATCAGCACGATAGCTTAAATTTCTTTTCAAAATTTAGTGAATATAATAATTTTTTTAAAGCATAATCATCTACCACATGTACCAAAATTAATTTGGTGGCATGTTAATTTTTTTTAATATACCATACATCATAACGCTACAAACTTGCAGTCGGATTCTAACTTTCTTTTCAATTCACGTCTATATTCATTCATGTTTAGTCAATTCATATATGTACATATGCATGATCTATGATTTATGTTTTTTGAATTCATGCATGTACATAAAATCGCATCTTTGAATTAATCGTATGAAGTCAAATTCATCAATTTCTGCTTAATCACATGTCTTCTAATTAATTCATATTTATATAAACTGTCATTATAATTTTTGCATTAATAAATGTCTTTATACGTAAATATTCTACAGTATGCTCCTGAACGTATTTNNNNATATTCTACAGTATGCTCCTGAACGTATTTAATTGAATATATTTCATTCTACAATATTATACCATTAAATTCGGCATATGAAGATTTTTTTTCCTAATGCATGTTTGGAGGATTTTTTTTTTGTTAATACATTTTTGCTAATTAATTTTTATATATAAATTCATATTATATCTATATGGTAATTAAATATATTTAGATGTTCTTCTATAAATTTTAGATTAATAATTTATTATGTTGCTCCCGAAATAGCATAACATTATAATTAATATTCCAGAAGAATATTAATTTTAGATCTATCCATTATAAATAGTTTGTTATTGCTTATGAAGTAGCACAATATTATAATTAATATTCTTGAAAAATATTATTTGCTCCGAAGTGTATGAATTATATTTTTTTCAGAAGAATATTGACATGTGGTTTCTGAAGAAG